AGGATCCCCTTAAGGGGATGCTAAAGCCGTTCAAATTACCGACAATTACAGTCAAAGGTCTCATTTTGAAACGGCTTTACTGATCGCAAAATCCTTTTACAGAAGTAAAGTAGAGGTACCAATGAAGGGTGGGATTGTCAAATAATTAGCAATAATTGAAAAAATTTTTTAAATGCTGTCACCTCATAACCTTATTTTCTAATATAAACAGTTGTATAAGTAATATGTACGAAATTAAACTTTCCCACTCTTCAGAAGACGTGCACAAACAATAACGTACCTTTGAAATTGAGATTGAAAGCCTGGAATAAAAATGAGAGCTTTGAAACGATCGTGTATATTTTTCACAAAAATATTCACGCAGAGCAGCAATCATGTCACAGCAGTAGTTCACGGATTTTGCGAGAGATGGCGCGATGGCGCACGCAGCTGTAGGGTTCCTATAAGGGAGTTGGGCAGATACCGTTGCTCGATTGTGATTGGCTCCGCCATTTTCCTATTAACTTCCGGTAGTTCCGGCAACACCGGCACAGCTGCACAGCTTGGCAATCTTGGCATAGCTATCATCGATGATCGACGCAATGGGTGCGTTCAGCCGATACTCCGCTAGCCTAGCAATCGTTTTAGCAATCGTTTGACCCCATTGGGTCAAAGGAGAGGGAACGAACGAAAACGAGCGACTGCTCACGATTGCTAGGCTAGCGGAGTATCGGCTGAACGCACCCAATAACGTGATAAGTGCTGTATATTATTCACATACGAAGAAAACTGTTTATATTGAAGGTAAATATTGTATAATTGTAATAGATAATTAAAGTAAAAGTGATGGAATGCCCCGTAAATACCTTGTGATTAATGTGAAAAATAGAAAATGCCGCATTGTGTAGCTTCTGGATGTTACAATTCGCACAAAAAAGGCGCAGTAATGCATATCTTTCCGCGAGATTTGCAACGTAAAGAAAAATGAATAGAAAATGCTGGTGGACCTTCAGGATTCAAATACTGTAGAATTCCAAACAAAAATTCATATTTATGTGAGGTACGTTTTCTATTTATGAGGAGTTGATTTATTAACGATTTATTTTTGTCCACAAGCATGAGGATTCTGACGACGTACAACGTAATATATTTCATTTTTAATATACTGTTCCATTTTATAGTTCTATTTCACGGTTGACATGTATAAGAAGGAACGTGTTGATGGCCGGAAAACAATTAAAATTATCTGCTGTTCCAACGGTTTTTGGAGAACTTGTCATTCAACAAAATAAAAAAAAAAATGTTGCAGGTAAATAATATATCAATAATATTTGTTTTTAATTAATTCGTCACATTCAATAATATTAACACTCATGGCTTATTTTTTTTTTTTTTTACATCAGTATATCATATACGACAGAAATTTGTAAGTCATATTTGTACAGTTTACGTTGTTTGTTTTGCTAAATATTGGTATTTATATTTTAGCGTTTATACTACATCAGCTACCGAAATCGTAGTAGCTTCTGAATTAACAGCTCAGGGGAATGAAGGATATGTTCCCAATATCGAAGCTGTTGCAGAAATTGAGATATCTAATCTGGTTCAGAGAGAGAAAGAATTTCTCTCCGATACTAAACCCACTGGTATTCGATTAGATATTACCATTCCTTCAGGAAGTTCCTCATTCTGGCGAACCAGTAATTTTGATGGCTATTAGGTAATATTTTAAAAATAATTTTACATTTATTGCAGTTTGTCCAATTTTGTTCCAAAAAAAAATTGATAAAAATATTTTTTTATGTTGCCAGGTATTTACAGAATGTTGCTTACTCACGGTAAGCTGTGTATGGACAAAGAAATATTGGCAACGAAAGTACTACCGTTTCTGTTGCCTCTCTGCATAGAACAAAATCTTAGCATGACACAATACGAGGCACTTTCCATGCTAGTCGATATGATAAATCGAGTAACCAGCGAGCATCGAGAGGCATTACGACAATTGGATTCGGTGCGCCGTGAGACGCAACAACTCGATCAGGCACTTTCTCAAGTGACGTCGCCCACTTTTATGCAAAACAACAGTCTAAGCGACATTAATCTATCGCCTCAAGTTCTATCCCCGAACGCACAGTAAATATTGAAAATGGATTAACCATCGAAGACAAGTACAGGTTTGTCTCAGCTATTTTAAAAAATTTCATATTTTACTCGACATACTAATTGCTATTTACATTGATTTCTTTCCAGATTAATTCAACAGCAAGAAACGCATCAAAGATTGCAGTCTCAATCTATGTTGACTCCTAAAGCTGCGCCACAACCTGTAAAGTCGCAGCTAAAGGATTTAATAACTGCGACTTTGTTAAAAAACAATCTAGACGAATTAAATCTGTCTATGTCAAGATCGACCATGTCACAACCGGATTACTCGGCTACTAAAAATGCATATAAATATAACTACATTGGTCTAACGCAATCGCAATTTTTAACATCTCCAACGCTAAATTCGCAAACAACATTGAATAGGCTAATGAATTGGAATTCCAATGGAATGAACGCGCCCATGAACTGGAACTTGCCACAATCTACCTTGATGTGGAACTTTATTATTCCCCAGAATAATGTAAATTTTGTACCACAACCAGAAGTTAAACCAAACTTAAACTTTCCTGGAACTTTGCAACCTCTTTAATATGCAAACCAATACGAACAAACCTAATTCATCCACGCAAGACATCATGGATTTGCTTAGTTAATAGATTTAATTCTAATACAAAAATATTTGGACAATTTATTTCTAAATAGTATTTCAGCAAAAAAGCAGCGTTATGAGTAATTATTTTGCGCAATAAAATTCCTCTCAATTAAATGATGCAATTATTGTACAATATTTGCGTAATTTTTTTATCGGAGTATAAATTGATTTTCATATATACGTATAATTAAAAAAAAAAGTTTCTTGTATTAAGATAAAATACACATTTATCTAAAGTTTACTATAAAAATTTTTATTTTTCTTCTTCCCTCGTTGTTAAAAGTATAATTTTGGTTTATTAATAACTTTTATTTTTGCTGTTAACTGTAATAAATGTGTTAAATTTATGATGGCTTCAATATTTTTACTGTCATCTTAGGTTAAGTTTATAACTTCATCAATTTTTCATTTATTCTTCTATTTTTATTTTTTATTTTATATATATATATATATATTCTATATTAATATACATATTACGTTTGCTACAATAAAGTTATAATAGCCTTTTTATACGTTGCATTATCATTTCATATAGTTGCGATACAGGATTTAAAATTTGCCGCTCTTTATACGCTGAGGAAGGAAAATGGCGACTTCCGCCACATTTGCCCAACTCCCTTATAGGAACCCTACGCAGCTGTGGGCAGTTTCGGGGTTGGGCTGTTGGCTACATTGTCTGGTTCGTACACAGCAATCGAACCAAGACAGATATATGATACAGATATCTCGTTTGGCATTTTTACATTTTTTTCAATTATTACTAATTATTTTACAATCACACCCTTTATTAGTACCTAAACTTTACTCATGTAAAAGGATTTCGCGATCTATGAAGCCGTTTCAAAGAACGAGCTTTGACAGATATGTCGTACAGATGCCTTGTTAGACAAGGACAGATATCTCTCGTATTATTATTCCTTTCTCTATGTATGTAATTTGCACGCACCCATTTATTTCTCTCTCTCTCTCTCTCTCTCTCTCTCTCTCTCTCTCTCTCTCTCTCT